GAATTTTTCATTAAATAACCACCACCAAAGAGGGTAGGAGTACACAATGTAGACAATGTTGTTAAAAATATGTTGTCATATAACTACATGGGACTGTTTTATTCCTGGTAGTGTGTGGCAATCTTATAGCAAAGAATTTTATTGTGTGTAAATTTTAATCTATACTATTCAAATGAGAAATAATGTACATTAAATCACCCGACACTTCTGTGTCGGGCAGTCATATGTTAGGATTTTATAAAAGGTGAGATGGATTGACAGCTCTTATTAGTATCTTAGTCAAATTCTTTCAGACTAACTAGAAAATGAAAAGATGGTTTGAAATTTGTTGACATTATTTGAAATTATGGAAGGATTATAAAGTTGCTTAATTACCCTAAATATTACTTGTAGTTAGCTACTCACTGGCCTCTGAGTGGGAGGGAAGAAGATGGGGCAAGGTAGGAACAGCTAACGTTGAATTCCTATTCTGCCAGGCATATGCGAGACACATAAACATCTATTTTTTTATTTTTAATATATGTGGAAGTGTAGCATTACAGTAAGTAGAGCAAAAGAATAAAACATTGTGCACATAATTAATTACACGTTCCTTTTTGTTTGGATGGTCACCTTACTGTTGTTGTGTGCCCTTGAGTCAATTTCTGACTCATATCAACCCTATAGGACAGAGTGGCACTGCCCCATAGGGGTTTCCTGTGAGTTGGAATCGAGTCAGTGGCACACAACAACAACAACAACAGTAACACAACAACAGTCTTTACAGGAACGGATCGCCAGGTGTTTTCTCCAGCAGAGCGGCTGGTGGATTCGAATTGCCAACCTTTCAGTTAGCAGCTGAACACTTAACTGTTGCACAACTAGGGTTCCTTAGCCCTGCATATTCTTTCCTCATCTGTTTTTGGCAGTGCCGAATGCTGTTGATTGTTTGCCATGCTTTGAATCATAACTGCCTGGGATTGCTATATATAGTGGTTATATGGCCAGAGAGGCATGATTATTTTATTTTTTTGGTTTTCAAATTTTCAGTTTTCAGGAGAAGAGAAAATTTATACATTTTTTTTCCTTTTTTATTGTGCTTTAGGTGAAAGTTTACAGCTCAAGTTAGTTTCTCACACGAAAATTTATATATATATTGTTACGTGACCCTAGTTGCAATCCCTATAATGTGACAGCACACTCCCTCTTTCCACCCCTGGTTTCCTGTGTCCATTCAACCAGCTCCCATCCCTTTCTGCCTTTCATCCCACCTCTAG